CGGGAATTCTCCTGCTCCAGCTCTTTCCTCTTGTTCTCCTTTTTCCCTCTACTCCACGAGTGGCTAGCAGGTTTGAGCAAATTCCCTTGATCACCCACCCTGGGCCATATACCCCAAACTCACATGCTCCTGCATCTTCATCTCCTGGAATTTGATGAATTTGGAGCCACGTGTCTGCAAATACAGCCGCCCTCCGGAGCGGTTAGTTTGGCACTCCTGGCTAGGGCACATGATGAGAGGCATGAAAGTTGGAGACTGGATCTAGGATATGAAAATAACACCGAGGATAATTAAGAAAAAGAAGCCCTATAAAATCCGTTACCTGAGTTACAATGCCTAACCCATGGAGCCTAATCCACTACCGTCAATTCCAACTCATCGTGACCCCCATTGGATTTCCAAAGCTGTGTATCTTTACGAAGTAGTTTGCCTCATCTTCCTCCTGTGGAGCAGCTGGAAGGTTTGAACTGCTGCCTAACCCATGGAGCCTAATCCACTACCGTCAATTCCAACTCATCGTGACCCCCACTGGATTTCCAAGGCTGTGTATCTTTACGAAGTAGTTTGCCTCATCTTCCTCCTGTGGAGCAGCTGGAAGGTTTGAACTGCTGACCTTCTGGTTACCATCCAAAATGTTTACCCACTACACTACCAAAATTCCTTATGGAATTACTTAGAGCACCTCTAACCATTCTGAATCAACAGTAACAGGTACCAAGTTAACCACATGGACAGAAATACCCTTACACACCAGGAAAAACATGAAAGATAAAACACACAAGCGTATTTTGTAACAGAGAAAATAACAGGTGAACATCAGTGAACAAAATTAATTCTCATAGAAAACACTAGCACAGTTGACTGCCTTCCTGTTCCTTGCCCCATGTTTACCGGCTGGTAGGTCTCTGCCCCACACTGATCACAGGTATAAGTGGCCACCACCATCCTGGGTTTGACTTCAGAGACTCGAGTGACGATTCCACGCACAGTTACCAATTTCCCCACAGAGTCAGCACGTACATCCCGGATCACACGAGGCTTGTTGCTACTTGGACCCTGAAAGTACAACTCACTGAGAGGATAAAATGGTCATCAGCAGGGTTCTGGAGGGCAAACTCCTACACCATTCCCCAGAGGCCACTCACAATCTGCGCATGAGTTCAGGAGGGTACTGGTTCTGGGGGCTGCGGGCAGCTCCAGGGTCCCTGCTCCGCTGTTCCATCATCAGCCGGTGCTCAATGTAAACATCCAGAACATCCTTATTTACCACCTAAATGAGAAGGTAAGAAACACAAGCATAAAAGACCCAGACGGAAAATCATCACCACCCCTTCCTGCCAGTTCAAAAAGTACCAGTACCTAAGAAGTCCATTGCCCTGTGTTTTTCTCCAACCACTCACCTCTCTCTCCTTATATTGAGGCAGCAACTCTTGCACAGCATCAGCAAATAGCCTGGCATAACGCCTGGCGTTCTCACAAATGGAGTCCACCAACTCGGGATCATCCTCGGCCACATCATCCAAGTCTATGTACAGGGCCACTTGTTCCCTATGAGCAAGCTGAACCTAGGGTAGGGAAGAGACAGCCAACGCTTCAGAGCCAGCTTCACCTTGTTCACCAATGGGCACATATCAAGTACCATCACTGCAAGCTCAGAGAACAGTGCCTGGGAATGCACAGGGGAGAAAGAGCAGTGGGAGACAGCAACACTCACCACTCCCCTGCCCCTGAAAGACAGCCTGACTCCCAAAACCACCTTAGTTAGCAAGACTGTAGCTATTACATTCACTTACACACAAAATCTACTGTCCTGAAACAAGGCAGGCCACCTCTTAGGGCCCCTTAAGTAACTACCCCATTCCCTCCATCTCATCTTAGACTTACCAACTGGTTCCCATACTTAAATTGCTTCTTGCCAGATTCATCATCCTGGTAAAACTCTTGTAGGAACTTCTTAGTCTTTTCTGCAATATGAACACGAAATCATGAGAAACCGCCTTCCTTTCTCTCAGATACCTAAAAGAAAACCCCATAGACGGAAATATAAAAAACCCACTTTCCCTTACAACAGAACCATTAATTAGTTAATTGGACAAGTACTTAAACTAGACAGAATATTTCACAAGTCTGCTTTTAACTACAGAAAAATAAGGACCCGGTAGTTAAAAGTTACTACCCAGTACGTTCTTCACAGGGAAATTTCAGTCTCTGCCATAAATAAGACTCAGTACCTTTTCCCAATGGCCTCTCACACCCGCAGCACACACCTGTCGATTCTCAGCGTTTCTTCCCCCCATGTAATTTCCTCTTTTCTCTCTGTCTCACAAAGCTCTGATATCCCTAGGATCTCCGCCACTAGGCCCCTTTGCCCGCCACTGCTTCCGCTCTTAGTAAACAAAGAAGCACATGGGCCCAGAAACCCGCCGCCTCACAACTTGGGATTCCTCCGCCCAAGGCGGGAGCCCGTCCGGCAATTGGCCAGCACGTCAAGGGCCACTCCGTTCTACACCACTACCTCCCCTTTCTGCTTCCCGCTAAATCCCCCAATTCCAGGCACGCCCCACCCTAGGTTGTTCCCTCCGAGGCTACCGCGCGGAAGGACACTGTTTACACACGACACTCCCTCCTGCCGCCTCGCGCAACTTCCGCCCTCTCTTCATTTCCGCCGCAAGGTTGGCCTGATAGCCAATCCCGGCGCGCAGCGGCCCTGGCCTTCCCGCCCCCGGGGCTTCGGCGCGTCTCCGTTGGACGCGGGAATTCGTGAATGCCTCTA